GCTTTTTTTTTTTTATTTTTGTGTCCTACAAGCACACAACTGTTGTAGATATTCTTCTCTCTCATCTGCTGTACCTTCCTTAGGTTAGTCTTTCACATATTTCTCCTCTTTTCAGATGCTTTCTAAATGTCTGCTTTGCGTACACATCGAGGCATGAAATCAGCAATGCTGTCAGGGAGATGGCATGGGGGGTGGAACAAGGACTTCTCGAACCCAGGTAACTCTTGTCTTTCTGTGTGAGGCTTCATAGATGAAGACTGCCTGGTCTTACCTCCTACGCTTTATTAATAACCTCTCAGAAGCCAAGTGGCTTTTAAATAGATCTCATTAAACCAGTGTGACTGGAACAAATGACTTAAAGTTACTATGCAATGTTTGGTTTTTATTATTTCCGTTACCATGGTGATAGATACACAACCAAGACAGAAGAGAAATTAGGTCTGTGTCTTAAGTTAGTTTAAATGTGAAGGCAGATTTTATGCCACAACAATTGGCTGCTTGGCTGGCAGTCTTAGCTATGAGGTCAAACAACAGATGAATCATGAATACTGAACTGTTGCTCCACCCTGGAGGAGATGGAGTAGTTAGCGCTCTGCTCTCTGCTCCAGATGGAAGTCCTCACAGTGTGGTTCCACCACTGTATTATGTTTCAAAGAGCATGGGGGGGAAGCTGTGGGGGCTGAAAGAGCATTTGAAATAGCCTGTGGAGCAGACAGTGGTGTCCATCAGAAGCAAGTTGATGACTGGCTATGGTACAGCTCCACCGCCCAGTTTTAATCTGTAGTCCTGTGTTTATAAAAAAACCCCTCAGTAATTCTGATTTAGTAGCGCCACCTCCATCGGGTCAGGAAAGTGATCTTAATAAGATGCATCTGTCTTTCTTAGTGATGTGTCTGAATCGTTGCTTGATAAGTGTCTGTACACGAACAACTCCCCTGACCCAGACCTCCTGATTCGAACCTCTGGAGAGGTTCGGTTGAGTGATTTCTTGCTCTGGCAGGTAAAGTCTTTGTTTTCTCCTTAAAATATTCCATCTTTGCATCAGAGCATGTTCTGCTGACACGAGGGCTCGTAAACTCTTTCTGCCAAGGGTTAGGTAACTTCTTGGATGGACTGAGTGCTGGGGCACCTCTGAGGAATCTGTTTCTTGCTGTTCTGTGATTGCCTAAAATACCTTGCAGCAGAAGTCTGAAATTGTATCATCCTGGAAACACTTAATAAGAAACCACAAATCAGTCTAGCTGACAGCAGTCAAGGAAATCACAAATTGCTCATCCTTTTGCTCCTCTTCTCACATTTAGGTAATTCCTCATTTGATTGGTAAATTCCTGGCTTCGATTAATTTAACCTGGCAATATGTTTCCTGGGCTGAGGAAATCCCAGGAAGGATTTCCGGATTTCTGGGAGAGGTGTTTGTCACATGTCAGCTGTAGGTATTGGAGGTGTAACCCTATAACGTACATGTAATGTACATGCCTGACTTGTCACAGTTTCAGAAGTTTATTTGACTTTCCTAATGAAACAAGACCCCGCAAGACAGGTTCTAAGGATGGCAAAGTCAAATCAGCATGACTAGGCTGCTAAGCTAAAACACAGTAAGTTCTTAACGCATATAAAGTTCATGTATTTCCAGTTACAGTATCCAAAGCTGCTTCCATTTCTCTCTCTCCTGTGCTTGGCAATATTGACTTGTTTGTAACCCAAACTTTGCAGGAGAACAGTTGAGTCAAGCTGCTTTACTTAAAGCTAACATTTTGTTTTACATGTGCAATTTGGAGCCAAAACCCAGTTGCCTTTAAGCAACCACATCAAATGTTCCTATTCCGACTTATTTAATTGGCAAGTTCACAGAGGTTGAGTTGCGGTTGCCTACCAAGGCATCTCCCTCTCCTCCCTGTATTTTTGGGGCACACGTATACCCTGGTTGGGTGTCAATGCTGCAAGCTAACGTTTTGCTTGCTCCTCTTGGTGGCAGTCCTGGCAGAGGTGCCTCGGAGACTGAGCTTGTAACTGGTGAAGCATTACTGAGGAAGTCGGTGCTCTGGGTCTGGCTGGCGTCGTGCCCCTCTCCTGTGCCACGGATTGCAGCAGAGGAGAACGTGTGCTTGTGCTCCCACTCTGCCAGCTCACGCGCCAGAGCGTTGGTGCAAATTTCCCTTCACTAGCAATCACGTGTGTCCTGACAGCCCCAAAGCAGGAGGACATTGTGCTATTCAGGATGATTCTCTGGTGTCAAAGAAAGTGTCCTTATGGTGTTTTGGGTTTTTTGTAGAATTGCCACTAAGATTTTCTATACCATTACAATTTTAAGAGCCATGCGGAGTCCTTTTAAGTGTTAGATTTTGTAGTAATGGTCACAGGAACACATTTACCTGAAACTTTGAGGGACTTGATGGCGAAAATAGGTTTTAACTTGAAAGCCTGCATCTTTCAGCTCTAGGATATCTTCAGTGCACCACAACTCTTGGATTCATTAAGCACTTTAAAATGCCGTGAGTGGGTAGCAAGGAGTATCACGAGATGTCATTTGATGAATGGCTTAAATGTCATGTCCTGATCCTCAGTTCATCTGTTATTCCCTTAACTCGGCCTTCGGTAGTCCAGTGTTGCTATTTTCGTTTTGTTATAAGTCTGTGATGCTTAAGCTATTAAAAATACCTCCGTGAAGACCAACATAGCATTAGAAAGAATTCTGCTGGTATTTTTACAGGAATGGATGACTAGTGTCGCAGCATTAAAAACTAATGAGAAATACTCTGTATTGTGCAATTTCAAACTCTCCTGGCTGGTATTTATTTTGTTTTAAGTAGAATCTGATAACACAGCCTAGGTAAAATCTTTGTGGGGAAACTGGCATAGTTTGACCAACAGAGCCTGCATCTTGATGAATTTTCCCTTGCTAGATGATTAAATTGTTGGTGATCTTGCTTTCTGCAGACATCCCATTCATGCCTGGTGTTTCAGTCAGTCTTGTGGCCAGAATATTCCTTTTGGAACTTGTGTGAGGCTATCCTTCGGTTCCAGATGAACTACAGTGCTTTACAGGTAAGGGAGCCTTAGGGAGATGGAAAGCTCAACACAGCACGTTGTCTGCACAGCAGCGTGCTGGAGATCAGGTGAGAGAGTGCAAAGTGGGAACAGAGGAATTGTTCATTTAGTGTGGTTAGTTAAGATCTTGTTTCAGGAGCAGCTAATGACAGATGTGTTGCTTCTCGTGTACCCATGTGGCTTGTTACAACATCTTAGCACGTGGACAGACTCCTCTACTTTCGGGAATACCTAACGTATCTGAAGTCACCACTGTCTCTATTACTCATTGCTCATTCCACCAGCTGAAAGCATCTGTCCCCACTCCTCAGCTGACAGGACAGAACAAGTAAGCACTCCTGATTTGCTACAGGGTAAAATCAACCAGTTTAACTCAAACCACTTCATCAGTGGTTTAAGGAAAGACTGCTGAGTTCACTCTGGAATGAGCAGGGAGAATGTGCATGCTCTTCCTCTAACGCTGCTATTGTTTTAAGGGTTGTAACAAGTGGGTTTAGTTTCCTTTCTGGGAGCTGAAGTGAGGCTGCCTGAGCTGTGAGTCTGTGGACAAGTGTCCTCTTTCTGGTGGGTCCAGATGTGCCTACTGAAGAGATTGTTCCTATTGCTTGTTGTCATTGTTCCTCTCCGCTTAGATTTGTTGTTGTGAGCTCTCCCTGACCTGGTTCAGATAAATCTGGCCAACTTAGTAGTCTGGCTATTTTTGAGCAAAACAAGGCTGGGAGCTGGAGCTCTTGACGGGGAAATCTGGGGGGCAGCAGCTTGTAGCACAGAGGCAGCAGTAACTGGCAGGAGGAGGAACTCAGTGTGGTGACTCTTACCTCCACCATATCTAGTTGCTGAGTGTGCCTGCTCCTTAATTATTTGGGTCCTCTGTTTTTAAAGACGGGCATTATATTGCCCTTTTCTACCTTCAGGGACCTTGCTCACCTCTGAGAGGTGTCAAAGAGATTATAGACAGTTGTGGTTATGGGTGAATTTAATCAGGTCCAGTCAGTCTGGAAGCATCCAAACTCTCCATGTCCTTAACCTCTTATTCCTGTTTCTGCCCCAAGTCTGCCCTTTTCCTACCAGCAATTCATTGTATTAATACAACTAATGGCAATTCACCTTCTGCATGAAGAGGAAAGCAAAAAAGGCAGTAGTGTTTGTCATTGACATTAGCTTTGCCTCTGTCTTGACCGGTAAGGTTCTGATTTTGCTCCTAGTGCTAATTTCTGATGGGTCACAAATGCTTCTTCTGTTCCTAGCTAGTCTCATCTTAGTTCTTGTTTGTGGCTCTATGTGTGTTCATGCTATGCTATTATCAAGGTTTCTTATCGGCCAGATTTGTTCCTTGGTTAGTCTTCTTGCTGTGAAACCCATTTTGTCCGCAGTGTATGAGGCTGCCCTTGTTTTAAGGGATGCAGCCCAGCTGTGCGGAAGGGAGGACTTCTCACTCAAAAGAACTGCTGAGATTAAGAAGCTTTTTTTTTCACATTTGAAATAGGTGATCTTGAAAGCCAAAAGTATCTGGAGCTCTTGAAACAAATTACCTTGGTGGAAGGGTTGCTTGTCAGCGAGAATGGTGGGGCTAGGGGTTTGGCTTGCTGAGAAGCCAGAATATGAGACAGCAGCTGTGTCTGCTGCGCAAGAGTGCTGCTGTGTTCAGGACACTGGAGGCAGTTACGGCGTGGGTAGGCAGCTGGACGGAAGGTTTGACAAGGCACAGGAAAAACTTGATTTGGAGGCATTTGACAAAAGATCCTTCCATCAACTCAAACAGCATCACGTTTAATAGCCGTCTTCATTTTCCAGTTGGCCTGCTGCTCAAGGGAGTCTACTAGCTGGTTGTTGCTCACCGCTTAGTCCCCGGTTGAGCTATAGTCTGCTTTTGGTACATGGTAGACCGAGGGAGAGAATGCTGATGTTGGTTGGCAAGCCTGCCCTCTGGAAGTGGTCACACTGGGTCTTTTCTGGTGGATAGGCAGAATTTCACTTTGTCCAAGGGTGGAAGTCTTATGCTGAACAGGCTGATGATCTTTGCGTTTCACATAAGCAGAGCTAGAGCAGTGGAGTGCTGCCAATTCAGTGGGCTTTCTGTAGCTAGGGATGTTTCTACTCTCATTCCCAGCACATCAAAAGCTAATTTACAGTGCCAGAGCATAGACTACTGACTTGGGCACAGGGAAAGTGTGGTGAAGAGTGAGTCAGGCTCTCATTAGAATAATTATTCTTGCTCATTTGAAAGGCCAGCACTCCCTAAGTGTGTGCGAGGTTATGTCACAGTGACCAGTTTTACTCTTTTTAAAAACGAAAGCTTAATATTCCTGCACGCAGATGTGTTTTTGCTGTTGGAGGCTGCAGGCTAGGATATGTCCAATAAGAAGAAATCCAAAAGTGATGTTCTGCAAAAATATTTCAAATACTTGAAGGGTAGGCAAGGATAGCTACTGCCTTTACCTTTCTCCTGCCCATCCTGCTGTGTCTCGAGCCGGTACGTTATATCACAGGCATTTGGGAATGCTGAGCCCACACTTGCTTTTTTACTGAAGCTGATTAGCTCAATACCTGATCATCAGCTGAAAGAATTGCCCCATAAATCATTGTTCTGAATCCCCTAAAACCTTTCAGCTGCCATGTGAATAGGATCAAAGTTTCTGTGATGACACTGGCGAGGACAGCTTGTGTGCACGTCTGTGGCTTGAAAGTCCTCTTGTATGCTGTTCCTCTCTGATTCCGATATCTGAGGGTTCTTCCACAATCTGTCATGACCTTTATTTTATCTAGGAGTTAATGCTGTGAGCAGACTTGTGTCGTGGGGAGAAGGTCCAGAAGGATATCCCTGTATTTTTTTTTATAACCAATCAAGCAGGCTGCTTCAAAGTGGAGGGGGCGCACACAGAGCCACCCTTCACTTAACCTGCGGATTGATGGCCAAGCAGGGGCTATTTCTTCCATAACCTATGCTGCCTTGCATCTGTACCACAGATGAGCTGAAAGGCCTGGTAACGTGCTAACGCTCTACTGCTTTTCACTCTAGAAGGCCAGAGACTCCTACATGGAGGAAAGGAGGCGACAACAGATGGAAAGGGATCAGGCTTATGTGACAAAGAAGCTGCAGCAGGAGGGGTTTGCGTCCCATGGAGACTCTCGGCGCCGACGGACACTGTTGCAGAAATGCACCGCCATGCGGGAGGAGAGAATCCAGGGCTTTCTACAGGCACTAGAGCACAAGAGAGTGGACTTCTTTGAAAGATTGTGTACGGTGTCTGCATGACATAGGTGCTGGGGTGTTCTTGGGAAGACAATTTTGAACCGTGTTAGAGGGAACAGCTGCTGCCCAGAGGAATTCACTCGGAGTGGTTCTGCAGTGGGGATGCAGGGCTGCTGTAGGACTTTACGTCCCCGCTGGCCCTGTCTGAGGGCAGGAACAGAGTACTGTGAACCTTTCTAGTTCTGTGAACGCTGCTGAGGAAGGTAATGCCGTCCTGTCTCGCCTCCCTGCCCTTGATGATGGAGAATACATGCACCCCACCATGTCTCTGCTGCTTGGTACTTTACGGGCCTGACTGTTTCGGTGACAAGTTGTTAACTAAAATGAAGCCTCCGGTTCATGTTTGACTCCTCGTGAATTGGTCCAGGCAAACCAATTCAGTCCTGTTAAGTCAGCCTGGACTCGAATTCTTTCCGTGGCTTTGCAGTAGTGAATCTTCTGTTGAGATTTCCTCTGCTGTCCCGTAAGGGGAGCCTCGCTTTCTGTAGGGAGAGGATTATTCCTGGTGTAGAAGGGAGCCCTGTGCCAAGCGGTGGCAGAGGTATTCCCCACTGCCTACTTCACGATAGCATCTTGTCTTTTCCCCGCCTTACTGTGCTGGTTTTGATATATCTGCTTCCAAAGAGCTAAAGCGAGGTGGTGTCAGCCTTGCCGTAAAGACAAAAAGATACTTCCTCGGGCCCTGTGATCCCTTCTGAGCAGTGTATGTGGGGAAAACCCAAATGCTGAAGATGCTGATGTTGGAACAGACCGACTGTGCTTGGGAAAGAGGTTCCGAGCAGGCAAGGAAAAAGGATTGGTTGGGAATTAACTTCATGGCTTAAAAAGGAAAAGAAGTTAGCTGAAACCAGGTGATGGATAGAGTACGCCAAATCCCTCCGAGACCTCTCTAGAGCTATGACTTAACATCCTGTTTCCAGGGAACGAGGGTGGGCTTAGTTCAGGAATACAGTAGCCAAAACCAACCTCTGACCCCAGCCAAAATGGTTTAGAAGGGCAATTTAGCTGACTTTAACGGGAGTGGCCGGAGCAGCTGTGGAGTGTTGTTTGTTCTCACTTTTCCATCAGCAGGGAGATGGACTAGCTAATTTCCAAGATTGTTTCCGTCCCCATGGTCAAAATAACAGAAGATGTCTTGATTTTTGTTTCTGATGCACATACAGGTGCAGCAGTACCAGCTATTGCTGTTTTTAAAGTGTTCCTTTTTACCTCCAGGTGAAAGCTAGAAAATGCAGATTTAAAAGGCTTGTAAGTACTGCAGACTCAGCACTTTGAATGTGATTGTGAAGAGGATAACTACATTGTCAAATCGTGAATAAAGCGTATTCATACCAAACTTATTTAAAAAATAAGCTGAACGTTTAAAAGTACGTAAAGCTTATTCTAAGGTGTGATGAAGTTGGCATCCAGGTCTAATATTGTTTAATCTGTGACAGATTCCTCATCTGATTCCTGTTAGACTGGAAACGATTTGAAGGCTGTGTTCTTTTTACAGTCTAGCGTGAGCAATTTGCTGATGCCCCAAGGCTTGGCTGAACGAAGCTCCGTGCACGAACCTCCTCTTCCGTAAGTAGCAAACAGTAGCTCGGAGAAAAGTGTGCCCAGATGATGGGAGCTGTCGATTTTAAACTTCTGTTGCTGTATTTTCTTTTCTCTGTCTTCACATTTCAGGAAGCCGTCTGTGGAAATAGTTCAGTCTCCATGAGATGGAGCACTCCCCAGTCTGCTTTGCCAGGCTGATGGGGAGACTGTCTTCTACCCAAGAATGTATTTTTGCCTTCAAAAAGGTTTTCAGTTACGTTATGATGATAGAGGTGACCAAAGCTACAGTGGTGGTTTTCCACAGTTGCAGGTGTGATAATTGAAGGATCTGGTTTACGAAAAGCTTGAAGGGAAGGTTTTAATCCCTTTTATAAAAGCCGTTGCTGTAGTAGGGGAGGAGAAAAAGCTCGTCAAGCAGCGGGGAAAAAGGCTTGTGTTACCTGGCAGTTTGTTTATTCCACCTGCATCGGTTGTTCTAGTAAAACACCAACCTGCCCTGTAAGCCTGGCTTCATTAGAGGGTGGGCGTAAGTTATACAGGCAAGCTCCGAGTTTCGGGAGTGCATCTTTGTGACAGTTGTGGAAATAGAGCTACAGGCTTCTTCCAGTGAGGCTTTAACTTCCCTAATTCACGTTTATATGGCGAGGATGTGAAAAATCAGCGTAACTGGGGAAAATGTGGTCTTCTGGCACTTGAGGTCTGAAAAAGCCTGAGAGATTACCTGGGGAGGGAAGGGGGGGGGCGGGAAGCGTGCCCCTCAGGGTGTTTTTCTGGGTGAGGTTCCTCAATGGAACCTTAATTCATCCTTAAAGGTTAAAAGTTCGGGGCACAATGAAGTGTCTATCTTGTAATTGGGTTTGTAGCAAATGGGCTGCGCCTGTACCCAGGTGTGAGAAATGGCCCCTTTTGGAAGGAGCCCAACTTTACCAGTCACTTAGCGCATGTAGCGGGCACCTGTGTGAATTGTTTTAGTGTCATTTTCTTGCATTTTGATTTTTTTTTTG